TTCAGTGTTTCTAAATCTAAAAGAAAAGGTGAATGTGGTAGATAGAGTGCATTTTTGTTATATTATTATAATACCTTAAGCCTCTATCACACATGCGGCAAATAGCTACAAATATTAGGTGTTTATGTATTTCCGTCTCTCTGTTTATCTACACCTTTTCCATGTGTAATTGCGAATATAGCAATTTATATTGCAAATTCATCAATTGATTATGCGAATAGTCAAGTGATATTGCGACTATATCCAATAGTATTGGGAAAAGTTGATTGTAATTGCGATTATGTCGAATGTAATTGAGAAAAGTTGAGTGTAATTGCGAATATATCATATGCAATTGGGGATAATCAAATGAAATTTGGAATCTATCAAATGTAGTTGTGAATCAATCAAATATAATTAAGACATTATCAAATAATTTCTCTGTCGACTCTTTCTCGTCATCGTGGATCTGCATATAGCACAATTATCGCGAAATTCCATTTTTGTGTCGGCTTTCTTGGACACAAAACTATCCATATGTATATGTAAACAAAAGCTTTCTCCAACAACAGACTTAGTTATTTTAGCAACAACATACCTACAGATTTTGATTAAAAAATTAAAAGGCTCAATTTCATCTGATTTATTATTAATTTTATTTGATTATCCCCAATTACATATGACATATTCATATATAATATCACAAGAGAAAAAAATTTGTCGGCAAAATTTTCGAAAGGTAGGTATAAAAGTTTGTTGCTTTTCGGCAATTTCGCAAATGACATTTTTGACAAAATCACTCGCCTGACGGCTCGTGATTTTGTCAAAAATGTCATGAGCGAAGTTGCCGAAAAGCAGCAAACTTGAATAAAACAACGATAAAACGTTGAGAGCACTTTTGCCTACACAATTTTTTCTCGAGTGGTATTCGTCATGACTACTCATGACTATTTCGCGTAAGATTTTGAAAATAAATAGAATGCAAAAATATGAATAAAAGCTTCAAATTAGAAATATCAGTTTGACAATGTCAAAAAATGGTCATTGAAATACCATGTTGTTGGTATTGTCCAGGTATAGTTGTAATCGCGATAGAAAGTGAAGTTGACAGTTCGCGTTGACATTTTTTAGTAACTTTTTCTTTAGGTTGCCATCATGCGTTAGCGCTTCGATTCCGTCAGGTGGGATAAACGACAGGGTCGTATTTAGAAAAGTGATATACATTTCAGAACTAAAATTTATTTTCAATTTATTTTAAGGAAGTTAAGTTATTAAAATCCTGCATAGTAATAATAAACATCTGTAATAGAACAAACGTAATACTTTATAATAGTCTCAAGGACTTTTCTGCCATCGCTAATGCCAAAATCAGCGCTTAAAATCGTAATATTGTGTGAGTATTAAATACTAGTATTAAAATAAACCAGATAATGATAAAAGTGTTAAAAGAGTCCACAGTAAACAGTTATTGACAGAGTAAACAGTTAAATCCAAACTAAAACCAGGTTGAAACGCAACACCGAAACACAAAGGCACAGAACACTACATAAAAAACCAAAAAACCTATTGCGAATATGACAAAATATCGAAAAATAATGCAGAAAATGGCAAAAAACTGAAAGGATTTCACTCGCAGATTATTTCACTGCAGAAAAATTCGAAATTCAAAATTCAAAATTCAAAGATCCGAATCTGATATTTTTACATGTCAAATCGAAATGTCACGTATCATAATTTGATGGTTGACAGAAAAAGGTCTGGGGGTTTTATTTATTTTCAACTGGTGAAAATAACGGTCAAAATTCAAACTCTATCGTGAATTAGTCTATAGCAATATTGTCAGCTGAATTGCGAATTTAGTGCCGGTGTAATACACTCTAGTGAAATAGTCGCAATTACACTTAACTATTCTCAATAACATTTGATGTGTTCGCAATTACGTTTAACTTTTCCCAATAACATTTAATATATTTCGCACTATCAACTGACTATTCTCAATAAGATTTGATTTATTCGCAATATTCTTCCACTATTCCTAAAATTAAGTGATATATTCGCAATTACACATGGAAAAGGTGTAGTTTCAATTTTCTAGATTTTCACCTATCCTAGATGGATGCTAAATACCGAGCCAAATACGCAAATATTTGCAAAGGCGTGTGAAATTTCGTATTTTTTCATATTTTCGTCTTCTAGATGGAATCCGAAATAGAGTTGAAATTTTCTGAAGTCGCTGATGGTGAACTTGGTTTGTTCCTTTAACATAAATCAAATGATTTTTATCCAGTTTCTAGAAGATGGAACTGCAGGATTTTGGAATCCCATTTTCTTCAAGACATGTTGAAATGCTTCCTTGAGTGTTTCTCTTTTTCAACTTTCAACAGCTTGATTTGCTCTTCCTTCAATATCTCGATTTGTTCGTTCATCATCAATCAAATAATTTTTATCCAGTTTCTAGAAGATGAAACTTCAGTTTTTGCAGGATTTTGGAATCCTTTTTTTTCCGAGACAGGTTGGAATACCTGCCTGAGTGTCTGCTTTTTTCAACTTTCAACATCTTGATTTGCTCTTTTTTTAACATTTCGATTTGGTTCTTCAAAATCAATCAAATGATTTTTATCCAGTTTCTAGGAGATTGAACTTGAGTTTTCCAGGATTTTGGAATCCTTTTTTCTTCGAGGCATGTTGAAATGCCTCCTCGAGTGTTTCTCTTTTTCAACTTTCAACATCTTGATTTGCTCTTCTTTTAATATCTCGATTTGCTCCTTCAACATCAATCAAATGATTTTTATCCGGTTTCTTGATGATGAAACTTGAGTTTTTGCAGGATTTTGGAATCCTTTTTTCTTCGAGGCATGTTGAAATGCCTCCTCGAGTGTTTCTCTTTTTCAACTTTCAACATCTTGATTTGCTCTTCTTTTAACATCTCGATTTGTTCCTTCAACATCAATCAAATGATTTTTATCCAGATTCTAGAAGATAGAGCTTGAGTTTTGCAGGATTTCGGAATCCTTTTTTCTTCGAGGCATGTTGAAATGCCTCCTTGAGTGTTTCTCTTTCTCAACTTTCAACATCTTGATTTGCTCTTCTTTTAACATCTCGATTTGTTATTGAGTTCAAGTCTCGGATATACTTGGAAATCGAAATAAATTCCTGGTATTAAGTGGTAATTTCAGTGGCAATTAATGGTAATGACAGTGGTTATTAATGGTATTGACAGTGGTAATTAGTGGTATTTAGCGGAAATAAGAGGTAATAAGGGGTAATTTGAGTGGCATTGAGTGGTAATTCCTGAGGCAATGAAAGGTAATAGAGGAAAAAAGTGGTAATTTAGAGGCAGTTACTGGTAATTTGTGGTAATTTCTGTCAGAAGTGGTAATTTAGTGTACACAGTTCCACTACTGAAATCCCCCTCGGGGTAATCTATTATATCACTTTAGAATTTCGTAACAAAAAAAGGTTTGTTCTTTAACATATAAATACAACCTGGGGTATACCAGCTATGCAAATTTCTCTGCTGCCTTTTTATGTTTGGGGACACCACAAATCTGTGGAAAAACAAGCAAATATTTTGGGCAAGTTTCTCACAAACAAGTTTTTACTTACCATAATAAACTTTAAAGTTGATTAAGACTAAACATTTGAGGAAACTAATGAATATTCAGGCAACTTTCGATCGAGCCAATCCGAAGTGATTTTTATCGATACCCGATAAAGATAAAGGCTATTAAGCAAATTAACGCGCCCGACCACCAAATTTTTTTTTAATTTGAGACTCGGCGGATTTCGAGAGGACCACAAAAAATAAAGCGACAGAACAAATTAGCGAAGAATCCAAAACGTGCGAAGTCTAATAACACCGTCCGGGGCAGTTTAAACGCTTTAATAGGTTACCATGGGTGAAGATGAGAGGCGGCAATAACGCCAGCTAATTCATCATGAGCCGACGCCGGCCCTGTAATTATCGCCGTGCCGCTCGCACCTCCACTTGTCTTCCACATTGAATATAGCCGAGGCGATTAGAGCCGGCTCGTATCTGCTGAAATGAGAAAAAAATTGAAGATGATGAAGAAAACCGATGCTTTTCACCGGTTTTTGCATCGCATATAGAGCCTTGGAATATGAATGCTGTTGATGGGTTGTCTTGTCATCAAAATCAAAGACGTTATGGTGACAGTAGCGTTGAACGTTGAAGCTCAAAATATTTAATTATGGATTTGCTCCACTTATCAGTGTCTGTAGGGAAAGAAATCAGATAACACATACCTACTTCCCGAACAAATTTGAACAGGGTGAGTCGATTTGAAAATGTCTGTGTAGTAGAAGTAATTTTCAATTTATAATACGCTGCGGGACAAAGCAGCACAAAATCGCCTATTCGGCAATATCATCAAAATAATACTTGGTTAGAGTCGACTTACTCTGACTTCCTGTCGAATAAGGACCAGCGCTGCCAATAAACAGTACCTAGTCTAATACGATATTAGATTGTATTGTTCTAGGCGTACGTTAAATTTTTGAAATCCAAGCGTTAAGTACCAGAAAGTCATCATAAGCAAATTTAGCCAGAGTAGTAAGCAAATTTTCCATAAGATTCATGTGACCAGTCAGTAGGAGGTATATTTAGACAATACCTATTTATTAGCAAATATGCCTAAAATCAGTTCCTTTTATTTAACGCTTCGTTTCGAAAAAAAGATCCATAACAAAAGGGTTCGGAGCTAAAAAGCGCATAATCGATTGCAGCCAACAACAGTTCTTGAAAATTCCGCCGAAAAATGACTCACCGGAAGCTTGTCGAATCATCTCATTTACAGTCAAATAATTACAGAGTGCCTGTCTTGAACTTGCCAATGGTCAGACATAATACGCTGACTGAAACGCGAGTTATTATCCATCTATGTAGTAGGAATACCATTGGCGGATGTGAGTGTTTTGCCAACGGGATCTGAGATGATTCATTTTGAAATGTAGGAAGGAAATTTGTTTTGTTGAATATATCTACACCAATCATTTTCTAGAATATATGCATTCTCAGTATTACGGAGTCTTGGTAATGATAACGGCAGCAGATTTAATGTTGAATTGTCCTTACTACATTCCCACTATCTATAAGAGAATATGAAAACTGGGAGAGAGCGATTTTATCGGGCTTGCAATTATCTTGAAAACACTTGGGATCATCGTTTTCATTACTTCTAGTATGGATGTCTAATTTTGAAATCTTCTCCTGGAATGGGTTGGCAGCTTTGTCTTCCATAGAATAGAGAAAGTTTCCAATTTGTACGAAGTACTATATTCTTGATCTATCACAAAATATACTTTGCGAATTCCTTCTTCTTTGTTCTTTCACCTTCACCAGTTCTCACTCTTCTTCTTTGGACATGAAGTAACCTTTATCTCTGGACTCTGGCAGCAAGCATCACTAGCTCCTACTTTGGCTTTGGATCTGTCATCCGGCTCATTAGTTTTCAATGTGGACCTGGTGCGCACTTCACAGGCTTCTTTGATTTTTCTTGACGCAGAGTGGAAAAAGCTGAACTACTACGTGATCTTGGGCGAACTATGTACATTTCTGAGAAAAGCTACATAGTCCAACATTCACGTTTATTGAATTATGGCATATTTGGTCACAAACATCTTTTAATTTTTCGAAATCCTAACTACCGACAGCACTGACTTTTTAAGTACCTATAACCTTTTTTTCTTTTCGCTTTATTACTCGTCTGCGTAAGAGAAGTGAAGAGCGTTTACGAGCTTTTAAGATACCTTAACCAGAAAGGTCTCTTTGGTTGTTGGTACTAAAATTTTTAATTAAAACTAAACAAAAACCTTGGGTTAATATACCGGTGTAAAGGGATAGTGAAGAAGCGCATTGTTGTTTTCCCAGTTTTGCTCGTGTAAGAATTGCACAAGGTAGGCTGAATATTTAGAAATGCAAAGATCTAAAAACTTATCGACTTGGTGACTTTTATCCAAGAATCGATAAATTATGAGTTGTTTTACCTCACCAAATCGAAATTTGCCCGGTCGGAGAAGATTATTTTAAAGAATTCTTTATGCGGGTGAAGTGACAAAACAATAAGAATGTCAAAACCGCAAGAACGTTGGAATTTTTAATCCGCTTAGGCTCAAATCTTTGGTTTAAAGGACAAGCAAAGAGTTAACAAGACAAGCTGGCCGGATTAAATTTCGCTAACCACAATTAAATTAACATTTTTCAACACGCAATCTTCTCCGGATTTTCTTCAAAGTTAATGTTTTTTGTTTATTTTTACTGTCATCATTTCACTTCTTAGTTGTTTGTTCATATAAAAATGAGTAGGTATCAAGGCTCTTCGTTAATTTGGTTTTATGATTCCTGAAATCTTACGTAGTTAAATGGTGCCCGTGTTTCTCTTCCCCAAATCCATTAAGTCTGGTGGTTTTCTAGATTTTCTTCTTCAACATTTGTATCAAAAGGTCGACTAAATAGTTTCTTTGGGTTATCTTTCGTTCTTTATTAGGTTTTCAAACCACTTGAGCGTTTTCTTCTGTATCATTTACTCGATCATTTACCTTCATTTTGGCATCTAGTCTCAATATTTCTCTTCTGGATACCCTTGCTTCTCCATCCATAATACAGATTTGTTTCCGCCAGCAAATATCTAAGTCTCTTTTCTGTCCTTTTATTTAGAATCGGAAAAGCGAGATCAGTAAATATGAAAACCATATTCACTAGTCATGACATTAATCTGAGCCTCAAGATAAATTGTTATAATGATTGCCAAACTCTGAAACGGAGAAAGCACATAGAGAAGAAGTAGAATGTGTTCTGGATCTGAACTAATTGATATTCGATGCCCCCTTGTTACTTGTACTTGAAGCCAGTTACTTAACCCAGAAGACACAAAGAAACTAATGGGACGCTAGTTCTGGGAGTACGGTTTTTCCTACTTTGCTTCCGTAGGCATAATCACTTTCCCGTGCTTCTGACATTGTGGGAATTGATCCTGTCTCAGAATTAAGTTATATTAAAACATTCCTAAACATCTCCCTAATCATCTTGCTTTAAATTGCAAAACGACCTGGCCTTCTCGGCTCTCAGGGCTTGACGATCTTCTGAAATTTCTGGGGCAGACTTGATTCCTGGTACTTACGTCTGCTTTAGTATATCCAGCTTTGTCTGTATCGAAGTATAACATTCCTTGGCGTCCGTGCAGTGGTGGAATGATGGCTTTCTCTCTTCCCAGATACTTTTGCAGTGGGCCAAGTTCGAGAATCGATCCTGAGTTCTTGAATCTTCTGATCCTATTTGTTGTTCGAGACTTCTTTACGGGCTTCCCTCAGCCTTGGGTCATCCTATTCATTTCACTTATTCGGGTTCCATATTTCGTAACCAAAGCTCTAACATTATTTAGGAAGTTTTCTGTTTGGCTCTCTTGAAATTGAGCTGGTAATTGTGCAATACTGCAACAACTGCATGCAAACTGGAATGGGCAAGCAAAGTAGATTTGGAACAAAGCTGAGGTCGATTGCTAGATGGTACGGGGACTTGAAGAGATGTAGCACAAATATGAATATCATGGCTCAAGACAAAACGAAATGGAATTGCTCATGCTCAGGTAAAGTAGAGGACAAATTGTGGTAGAATGGTAATGATGATGATGAGGGTAAATGTGTGTGTATATGAATACAAGTATAATTTCAGCCACCTCACCCATAAATGTATACCTACCTACTTTTTTCGTAAATTTCACTTCCAAATACTCAATAATTTTTATTATCGATGCAAATCTCAAAAATTAAGTCGAGTTTAGTTATTAAAGCTACCTAATTTTTAGTAATAAAGGTCCAGTATAAATAAGATGAAATTGTAACCATTTTATAATAAATCTTAGGCTAGGAGCATTAATCTAAGGGAAGAAAATTATTCACATTGTTCAAGCTATGCGATCTTCATCCTCAGTTCTGAGTTTCATCCATGGTCTTTCTCTCTTTATTATGAATAAGTAGGTGACTTTTGATGCTTCCTCTTCCGACTAGGATCTCGCACATCCGGTCCATGGCCAATCCAATCGATTGACATTATTCTTTGTGAATGACCAAGTTTGACAACCGTTTTTCATTGTGGATCACACATTGGTTGAAAAGTCTGCTCTATTTGATTAAGTGGAATGTTTCTGTTCCTTTAGGATTTATGAAAACTGGTTGAAACCTTCTCATGCAAGTTTTGTTCTTCTTGTAATTTGTTCTATTATTCAGTATTTGTCCTTAGTAGATGTATTCGCTGACATTGTCTAAAGATAGGTTCTCAATGGTTACTCTTCAACGTTATTTGTCATCACTTTTGTTTTCCCTTATATATTCATCTTCAGGCCCATTTCTTCCGATAAACGGAGCTTCTAGGTACTGAAGCTTTTCAAAATTCTTGGAAATAAGTGCGGTGTCGTCGGCGAAACGTAGATAATTTATTCGTTGGCCCTTCATACTTATATTATGTCTAGACCCATTCTTGTTTTTTGAATATATCCTTCATTGCCCGAGTGAGAAGTTTTCGTGATATCATTCTGTCTGCCTGATTGGAATGGAATTTTTTTGTTCTTTTCCCGCTGTATACTGTTAATAAGGTATTTCTTAATTCGTGGGTTATTCTACTCTTATCTCCGCAATTTTTAGACTTCTATATTAAATAGTCTCTAGTCTCTCTAATGTAAGAAGTTCCTCTCTTCCTTCTTCCAGCATATCAGTTCTAATTCCATATCCTATTGATATTTTGTTTTTCAGATCGTTATTTGCCTGCTCGACTTCAAATTTTGATATCTGGTTCATCTTCCGACAATTCCTATTGTTCGCTGGTTATTGATACGCGTCTCCACGTCAGGATGTTGCTCCCAGCTGATGTATCTATACGTCATAGAAGCTCTCCACAGCTGAAGCTATTTTGTTCTTGTCCATTTCTTCTCGACTTTTTTTACTTTTTATGCGCATGGGTTTATTGGTAGGTACCGAGTCTTTATGGCAGTTTTGATTCTACTTTTTGATAGAAATATCCTATCATTGGTTGCTTTTCTCCGATGGGAGGTGTAGATATTATTCCACTGATTTCCCTAAATTTCTTCCTATTCTCGTCGCAGACTTTTGCCCTATCCTTTTGTTGTCTCAGTAATAATTATTCTACTCATACTTTCGATTTCTCTCTACCAACACTTCTGATTCTGCTTTCATACCTTCTCAACTCTCATAGCTCAATGATTAATGCACGTGCGGTGGATCTGTTGATAACTGAGACATCGCCGAAGATGTATTTACTGCTACATAGAAAGAAGTTAATGTCATTTTTTCCTATAGATTCTCGTCTGATGGTAACAGATTAATTTTTTTCTGGGTCTTTTCTCGAAGAAACTACCTATTTTTGAATTGAAGCTGTCACGTTTGTATTTGGAATATTTCCTGAAACCTAATTTGTTATTAAAGTTGTTAATGTTAATAGCTTCTGTTGCTGTCTTCAGCTTTGGCTATTGATAGCTCCGCAATAACAATTTCCAGATTCTCGTAACTGGTAGTTGGGGTCGGTACATAGACTGAATGAGCTTCAGGGAGACGCTCTTGTTGATGTTCAGGCCGATATATCTAACTCTATTAGAAACGACCCTGAATTTCCTGACTCTTTTGGAAATCTTTTTCAAGTTCTATTAATAATTGTTTGTCCTTATCAGCCATGGATCTTGTTGAAGTGCTCCTAAAATTGTCGTATTCACGGTATTTATGTTATGCTGATACTCTCTATTATTATTATTGGTAACACTGGTAACCTGATCTTAACTTCCTAATAAACGTCAGTTGTCCTGAGTTTCTAAACGATTCACGTTGTTGTTTTATTAGGTTATGGAATCAATTTTCGTGGTTTCTGCTGTTTTTTCATAGTTTTTTGTGTAGTTTTTCCTTTTAGTCTAGTGAAGATTTAGAAACATGGCAATTAACTTTCAAGCCAGTGTACCCAAGTTAAAAGGGCGGGAAAATAATGAAGAATATGCATTCGGTGTACAGAATGTTCTCATTTTGGATGGACTTAGGGGATGCGTTAACGGCACGGAAAGTCATGCGGACAAATGTGGAAAGGCGATGGCCAGAATAGTCCTCACGATAGATTCAGCACTTCTTTCACACATTAGAGATGAGGCAACACCCAAGAAGGTATGGGATAAATTAAAAAGTATGTTTTCTGACTCAGGTCAAACAAGAAAAATTAATTTGTTAAGATCTCTAATATCTACCGAGATGGAAAACTGGTAAATCTATGGGTGATTATGTGAATAAGATTGCTGAAAAGTCACAAAGATTGAAATCCACAGGGTTTGCAATAGATGACGTTTGGATAGACTCCTTATTGCTAGCTGGTTTGCCTGAAAAGTATTACCCTATGATTAGGGCTATCGAGCACAGTGGTCTAGCCAGAACTGCAGATGCCATCAAGACAAAGTTGTTGGATATCGAGGTGGAAGTACCTCAGAGACATGGTGTAGCTTTTACTGGTGGAGGGGGCAGAGGAAAATATCCTGAGAAAAAGAAAAATAAAGGTGTGAGATGTTATGCTTGCAAAGAGTTTGGACATATCAAGTCGCAGTGCCCAAAACTGATGGGTGAGGAGGCTAAAAATGAGCAGAATAAGAAAAAGTCTCATGCTTTTAGTGCACTCTTTTTGAGTATGCAGTTTTTGGAGACAGACTGGTATATGGAGTTGCGGGCAAGTGTACATCTTTGTGTAATAACGAATGGATGGGAAATATTTCTACGGACTGCGAGTTGAAGGATATATTAGTGGCTAATGATACGAAAGTACCAGTCAAGTGCATGGGTGATGTAGGTGAGTTGGAGGCAACAGCTGATTTGGTTCAGAATGGTTTACAGGCTTAATGTTGATAAGAGTGATTGTTGTCTGCTAACTTCTGGAGAAACTTGGCATGGAAGGTTTGGCAACATTAACTCTGCAGATCTCAATAAAATGAAAAAGGCTGTAGATGGGTTAGATTTCAAAGGCGAGGTAAAGTGCAGCAAGAAAAACTGCATAATTTATTGTGAAGGGAAGCAACATAGGTTGCCATTTCCCAAAGAAGGCACCAGAGCCAAAGAAGTACTAGAGGTCATACATGCTGACTTATGTGGACCCATGGAGAAGGTTTCCATAGGAGGCTCTTAATATTTTGCTTTAATCGAAGATAATGCCACAAGAATGACATTTGTTTACTTTCTTCGATCCAAGCATGAAATGTTGACAACTTTTAGAGTTTAAAAATCTAGTTGAGAACCAAATATCGAAGAAAATCAAGCATTTCAGAAGTGATACTTAAGGATGGAGAGTATTGCTCTAAAAAATTTCAAGATATTTTTAGAAAATATGGGATTATACACCAGAAAACCAACAGCTATACTCCTAAGCAGAATGGGATGTCAGAGCGCATGAACATCACATTAGTTGAAAAAGCTAGATCAAAATCTTTGATGCTGGACTCGGCAAAGAATTCTGGGCAGAAGCTAATAATATCTACTTCAGTGTAGGTACTTGACAAACAGGTCACTGGCAGCTGGGTTGGGTGACAAGACCTCTTATGAAATGTGGCACCATAGTAAACCAAATGTGAAGCATTTGAGGGTATTTGGCAGCAAGGTCATAGTACATATACCAAAAGCAAAGATAACTAATTGGGATGAGAAATCAGAAGAAATGGTTTTGGTAGGATACAGTGAAGTGGGACAGGAGTATAAAGTATACAGTCCAGATAGTCAAGAGATATGTATTTCTAGAGTTGTTGAATTCATGGAAGACATCCAGATTATGATAACTTCAGAGACACCAACTGAAGTGGTCAGAATACTCAGAAAATGACTCTGAAATTACTTATAAAGAAGAATTTGATAATGTGTGGCCTGATACCTCTGTAGATAGTGATTATGTGTTTGAAGGAGATGAACCAACAGTTGAGACTGTTAGGAGACATAAGTCAAAAAGTTTCGATGATTTTGTAACTTTTTTGTCAGGAATATGTCACAAGTCCCCAAACAAAGTCAGATTGGATGAAGATCCAACAGTTAAGCATAATGTATTTATTAAACAGTGGGTGTTGTGTGAGGGTGTTGAAGTATTCTTAAAATTGTCGTATTTACGCTATTTATGCTATGCTGATTACGCTATTTATGCTATGCTGATTCTATCTATTATTATTATTGGCAACACTGCGGAGTATTGTAACCTTATTTTTACTTTCTAATAAACGCCAGTTGTACTGAGTTTCCATTTCCACCAACTATTTTAGGGGAGCCTTAACGATAAGTATGCCCTTAACTGACATTTCTCCATGGAAAAGTGTCATTTTAAGGAATACTTATCGTTAAGGGTCCCCTAAAATAGTAGGTGGAAACGGCCATAAACGATTGGATTCACGTTGTTGTTTTATAAGATCTGATGTTAGAGGTGGTTGGCACGTAGAGTTTGTCTGCAAGAATCATTGAAATTTGGTCTTATCCACCTGTATGGTATTCAGTTCTTTAGGTTTGCGATCCATACACTTTTATTTGGAAGGTGATGACAATATAATGTTTCCTGGACTGGTATTATGCGACTGCATCTGGAAAAAGGGCCAAAACGGGTAGATGGAGGATTCACGATTCGGCTAGGATTTCTGTCAATTTGAGGGTAGAAGTTAATCTAGGCTCACGTGGAAAAGGCTGCCTACCTGAATTAGCCACATTACTGTATTGGGTCTGTGTAGGAGTGCCATTCCAGAATGCAATTTTGGAAAAACAGAAATAAGATTGATCCATATCTATTATCTTTATAATAGGTACCTTCTTATGCCAAATACAAAAGACAACATTTTAACTTCGGTTTCTTCGGTATTCAAAAACATGCACATATAAGATGTTTATTCGTGACGATTTGAATTCTTTGATGACATGGCGGACCCTGACTAAAAATCTAAGAACTAGACCGTTAGCTAGTTGAAGGAGAAGAGGACAGAGAGGCGAAAGGGAGTCTTCCGTGCATATTATGGGAAAGTGGCAGAAAAGCTGATAAGATCTACTGAATGGAGAAAAAATCAACGATAAAAGCAAAAACTTACGGAAACTACCTACTCATCGACCATTATAGGCTGCAACACATTAAAAAAAAACTACCCATATTATGTAGAACTATATCAACAATTAAAATGCATAATAATCCATATACATAGATACAAACTACGGACTATTTAGTTTTCATGTTCTTCTGCAACATATCAACCAGTTCTTTTATATCTCGACCTGAAATACGTAGCGCCATCTCTTTAAATCGATCTATATCAGAGCCTTGTATACGCTGTATATTTCACAGACCACTTTATGTGCTCGCAGCTTGAAGGATTTCTTTATTGATTCTACTTTTTAATGGCTGCTAGTTTCGTTACAAACTACCAGATGGCACAACCTTTCAAAATATTGTTTCGTATTTCCAAAGCATGATACAGAATTTGATTTCACTTATTGTCTGTATGAATGGTTCTACGTTCCCAATTCTTTCGGAAATAAAAAAAAAAAAACGAAAACAGTTTATATAATTTATTAATAAAAATAAAAAAGTGCAAAACAAATTAATTGTTGTTATTAAGCCTAACACTAACATCACTTGAGTGTTCCCCTGTTAAAAACTAGGAAAATCCTACATTATTAAAGCTTTAGTTACCTATATCAAACAATAAATAAAATAATGTTTCTATAGTTAAATATTACATGAGACAAATAAATAAATAAATTGAATACACATTAAATATTAGTAAAACATATAAAACATAGCTCTTCACTCTTATCACAACTGGCCATTCTGTTCTTTCTTAGGTTCTACCAGAATCATAATAAACCCATCAACATCGTCCATTTCTTTGCATACAAATTTTGCAGCAACCGCAAATCTGCCAGTTCTTGGCGGAGTAAATTTGAATTCACCTAAAGTACAAAACAAACTAAAAACTCTGTTGTTCTCTCAAAACAGCCTACCTTTCGCTTTCTCTCCAGGTTGCACCGTTTTCACTTTCAATTTTATTTTCTCGTCAATTCCTGGACCTTCGATAGTAAATTCTCCTTTCTTCAAAGGTATCGGCAATGGATTTTCCACTGATATATCTGCAGTAAATTCAGTGTTTTCCACTGGAGTTTCTCGGAGTAATATTTTGATATCAGGTTTACGTATTCTATAAGTAAGTGAAAATTATTATATTTTGAAAATTCTATTTGAAATTTTACCTAAAATCATCCTGAGCATAATACTCAAACTTAGTATCCTCAATCGAAGCCAAACAAGATATATTAAAAGCACACTGATCAATTATTCTTTTACCATACTCATCGTATCTAACAGTGAGTTTAACTTCATGAGTAGATTCTGGTTTCACAAATGTCTTGAAATAATCTTTTTTAACAGAATCGCCAACTTTACCCATGTAAGTCACTACATCGACCCGTAGGATAACCGAAACACAGTATTCTCTAGTTTTTGAACGATTTCTCATTGCAAGAGATACTTCGAAAGGTTCTCCTATTTTGACGTCGTCTAAAAGATTGAAATGGAAATAGATGTCGTTGAAGTCTTCATTCAAGTAGTACCTGAAAATTTATAATAAATATGAGTGCCCCTTCTTTTATTGGTCTTGAACTTGTTTTTGGAAAATGATCTGTTTCAAAATAATATTCAGCCAAATATCCTTACCTAGAAAACAGATTTTCTGATTGACGAAGAGCTTTCAACATTGTAGTTCGTTCCTCATCTGATTTTTCAGCATATTTGTAAGTCGAAGTAATATCCTCTCGTTCAAATGACCCGGCAGCTTTTGTAAGAATTAGTTTGCCTATACCGTAAATGTCTTTTCTGAGAAGTTTCAGGGGCTGTGTAGGACCATTCCATCTCCAAAATATCTGTAATTTATTTGTTTCGAATTATTAGATGAATCAACTTTCCCTGGGGTTATTGGATGGAGAAAATAGGGGAAGTTTTGGCGAAAAGGTAGCCTCCGGATAGAATGGGAATGAGCATAGGTGAGCATAGACCGTGCAATAAATCTTCATGAAGAAAAGCGAAATGTTGCGCATGATAGGTGAAACGTGAAAAATAGAAGCCAGAAACTAGAGTGCCTCCTTTTAATATATTTTGACTTTTGTGGGCGTGTCGGAGTTACAAGCTGAAATTTTCACAGAATGAAGATTTTATTATGTTAATTCAAAATCCCAAGGTAATACAAAATCAGAACGGGCAAAAGGGCACTATAATTAAAAATTGAGATTATTGCATGAACATATAGAATATTAATTTATGACTGTTTTCATACATTTCGAAATGGTAGATTAATCGAAAAAGCGGGTCAAAATTAGTGGAAAACAACCCTGACATCAATGCCAAATGCCCATTTTAAGCAGAAACCAAAATAAAAAGAAAATCCTATTTTTGGCTCTGGAAAATTTTCCAAATCTTGACATGGTCATGAATAATTGCCCTTATCTTTGGTAAATTTCAAGCAAATTAAAATAAATTATGCATCGTTGGAAAGAGCCCTAAATTCTCTATAAATCTGTGCGGAATTGAGTTCGATAGCTCGAATAGTTTTTGAGCAATTGAGCCTCAAAGTTGACTTTTAGTCCAAATTTTGTCAAAAACTTCAAACTCAATTTGCTCAAAAACTAGAAATTTGGAAATATTGTAAATTACAGGCCATTTAGAACTTGATAAAAGCTACAAATATTGGAAATTTTAATGCAAATTGCTCAACGGTTACCGAGCAATTGAGGTTTGAATATTTTGAAATCAGAATTCAAAGGGGATACCCTTATGAAAAATTCGATTTTTTTATTTTTCAGTTTTGCACAATTTTGACTTTATGAATCAATAGAGCGGGTCAAAATTAGTTAATTTTAAGCAGACACAAAAATAAAAATAAAATCCTATTTTTGGCTCAGGAAAATTTTCAAAATCCTGACATGGTCATGAGCAATTGCCCATATCTTTGGTGAATTTTGAGCAAATTGAAATTAATTATACATCATTGGAAAAAGCCTTGAATTCTCTATAAATCTGTGCAAAATTTAGTTCGATAGCTCGAATAGTTTTGGAGCAATTGAGCCTCAAAGTTGACTTTTAGTCCAAATTTTGTCAAAAACTTCAAACTCAATTTGCTCAAAAACTAGAAATCTGGAAATATTGTGAATTACAAGCTATTTAAAACGGTTATTGAGCAATTGAGGTTTGAATATTTTGAAATCAGAATTCAAAGGGGGTACCCTTATGTAAAATTCGATTTTTTTATTTTTCAGTTTTACTCAATTTTGACTTTGTGAATCGATAGAGCGGGTCAAAATTAGTGGAAAACAACCTTGATATCAATTCCAAATGGCCATTTAAAGCAGACACAAAAATAAAAAGAAAATCCTATTTTTAGCTCTGGAAAATTTTCAAAATCCTGACATGGTCATGAACAATTGCCCATATCTTTGGTAAATTTTGAGCAAATTGGAATAAATTATACATCATTGGAAAGGGCCTTAAATTCTCTATATCTGTGCAAAATTGACTTCGATACCTCGGATAGATAGGCCATTTAAAACTTAATAAAAGCTACAAATTCTGGAAACTTTAATGCAATTTGCTCAACGGTTACCGAGCAATTGAGATTTGAATATTTTGAAATCAGAATTCAAAGGGGGTACCCTTATTAAAATTCGATGTTTTTAATTTTTAGTTTTGCCCAATTTTGACTTTATAAATTGATAGAGCGGGTCAAAATTACTGGAAAACAACTCTGATATCAATTCCAAATGGCCATTTTAAGCAGACACAAAAATAAAAAGAAAATCCTATTTTTATCTCTGGAAAATTTTCAAAATCCTGACATGGTCATGAACTATAAATCTGTGTAAAATTGACCTCGATAGCTCGGATAGTTTTTGAGCAATTGAGCCTCAAATTTGGCTTTTAGTCCAAATTTTCTCAAAAACTTCAAACTCAATTTGCTCAAAAACTAGAAATCTGGAAATATTGTAAATTACAGGCCATTTAGAACTTGATTTAAGCTACAAATTCTGGAAATTTTAATGCATTAAAATGGGAATCTGGGAATATTGTAAATCACAGGCCACTTAGAGCTTGATAAGAGCTATAAATGCTGAAAGTTTTAATGCAATTTGCTCAACGGTTACTGAGCAATTGAGGTTTGAATATTTTGAAATCAGAATTCAAAAGTAAAGGGTTTATTGTATTGTTTGGCGAGAGAGAAAGGGAGCTACGGAGAAAAGTGAGATGGAAGAGTACTGGTGCAGCGGAGGGGAAGAGCGGCTCGAAGAAAATTACGTTTTTTTTATTTAATTCTATATTTCCCTTAAAATTTGAGACAAAGGTTCATAGTGATATCGATGTTGGGTTGAAGATTGAAAATTGAATTAGATTTAAGGATTAGAAATCTGAAGACGTAGAAATTCGTCAACCAAATTATTTGTAACATAGATAAATATCATAATAATGGAACTTTCAATTCAAAGATCATGTCATGTGAAGACTTACCTTGTCAGCATTAACTTCAGCAAATACAAAGTTGGTGTCATGAGATCTCAGTATTTCTCCTTCTTTAACTGCCACTACTGAAGCAGGTCCACACCTAATTAAAAATTGATCTTTTATCAACTCAAATAACTCATTTTTTATTTCATTTCGATACCTGTACGCATTTTCGCTTAACTCCTGCGGAGTAGCATCAATGGCTTGCCAACCCGAGTAGATCCTACCCAAATCCGGACGCGTCATCCAAACTTCATTCCAAACATGGAAATTCCATATCGAATCGGAATTAAGTTCTTCCATTATTGACCCTTTCTCATCCATAAAATAATCTACGGTTAAGGAGTTCTGGGTGTCATGAGCTGAAGAGTAATTGGTTACTGTTCTTGCTGGTATTCCTAGTGCTCTACAAACTAATGTAATATTTGTTGAAAATGCTACTCCGTGGCTAAAATAAAACATCTAGAGTATGCCGCATACCCTGATCTAGCATATAATTACATTTCCATGATCCATGCAGATTCGTCTAATTAAACTCTATCAATTTATTTTATAGTTAAATGTCGATCATTGTAAAATGACCGTTCAACGTTAATTATCATAAACGTGATCTAAAGCCAATCCATTAATTCAATTTAAATTATTTCACTTAATTGAGTTTTCTTCTGAATTTCCACCCAACAATAAAAGGTTATTATGAATGACTATATTGCAAATCCCATAATAAATCTATGTCGTGTTTACAAGTATCAGCCAATAAACAATTCATATGGGTGCAATGCGCCACCAAAAGAATTCCATCTTAATAATATGACATTTAACCTTGGTCGTTGGTGCTACCATTTCGGATGGAGCTAATAATACCAGACAAGTATTGGAATATTTAAATTGAATGCACCTTCAATGATTTAATATTGGTTATTGTAAAATGATTAATAGATAGGTAGCAATTATTGATGGTAATAATAGTGATTGAACTAATTAAACGAATAAAAATTGTGGCTATGATTCTAAGTTACCCAGTCATTATTTTATAGGTAGTTAATTATTATAAACTTGCAATAATTTATTTTTTGAACTTATGTTATAATGTAATTATTTTGGTGAAGATAATTTTTCTCAAACTTACTTGTCGTTAACACCCCTGAAAATACCCAACATTGACCGTATTTCACTGGTTTCTTCTTTTTGTAAAACTTTTGAAGAATTTCCATGCTACCAATCCACTTGGTAGGCGCCGTCCCACCACTGTGATCTGTTGACCAGTTGCCCATGACAGCACCATTATCATCTGCTGAATTTACAGCTGCTGCTAACGCTCTGGTGATCTTAACAGGATCCGATCTACATAATAAGACGACAGTTAAATGAAATAAAATAAATATGGTAGGAACTATATAGATACCTGTTATGAGCTTTTACATTTCCAACAGCATGAACCAAATACAAAGAGCAATCTAAAACATCTGTTTCAAATTGATCATATTTCCAAATCACAGGTTTTATCCTATTATAAGTCCCTCTGAATAGAAGACCGACGTCATTCATTACAGATTCTTCCCGCCATTCTTCAGATTTTAAGTATACTTGATCATGTTTGCTCCTGCATGAAAAAAAATATGAAATTTTCAAATTTCATAAAATAAGCATGTTTATTACCAAGGATTAAACAAAATATAGATTCTAGTTTCCCAGCTGTAGCTGTAGGCGCCATCATCAATTATTCTAGTATCTACATCCATTCTCCATTTGGCAACTATTGTATCTGGGGGAGTGAGCACGTTAACTGTAATCACATTTCCGTCGATAGAATGCAAAACTACGTTCCATGGCAGGTACCTGTCGGGATTTTTGAGTAATGGTACTGCTACCATGGTTCCATTACCATGTGATGGTTTTTCTTCGTCTATAAATTGATATTTTGTGTTGAGCAATGCATCAATTTAGGAGAATTTCGGTTTTCGACTTGCGTTAAGTCTTGATTTATTGAGCTTTGGTCAACTGTGCCTAAACTCAAAATGTTTCTCGTTTGGTCGATAATTAGAAATCCTACTACCTACCTTTGGATTTTGATAAACAAGATAGGTTGATGTATTCCTACGAAAGTTGCCGTATCTACTATGCCCCTCATGCACTTGCATTTTGGCATTTTCTATTTATTACATGGATTCAAATTTAGATTTATTTATGTAGTAATGGAGAGAATTAAAATCCCACATACTAATGACGAGCCATAAATGTTAATGGATTCAGATCACGTAAGTCAGAAATAGAGCTTTTTTGGAGGAACATCAACCTCAACTGCTGGTGTTGCAGGAAACCAAAGCAGGTGAGGTTTTCAGAATGTCCTTCCAAGGACATGTATAGTACCTATATAGGAAAGATGGGCCCAACCTTCGACAGAATGGAGTAACCATTATAATCAGAAATGATGTCGCACCATATAGGTTTGGTAGTATAGATTCTAGTATTGAACATCTAACGGTTGAAGCTACAATCACCGGCAAAAGGGAACTGACGACTGCAGCGTACAAGGCACCCAAGCAAGTACCACTAGAAGAGGATATTATTATCAACAACCTTCTCAGTAACAATATCCCAAAAATATTTATATAGGTGATCTTAACTGCAAATCAAGACTCTGAAATAGTACAATTTAATGAGCAAATGGGACCACACTGGCAAATTACACTAAAAACTGCGGAGCAATTGTGATATGCTCAACTTCTTCAACTTTTCTCTTAAGTGCCAATGGCAACCCAAAAGTACTAGACAATGCAGTATAGAGGTTTATTGTCCACGATTTCGAGATAACAACTATTATTGAAGGTACTTCGGATCATAATGCTATAATTCTAAAATAAGGACATGGACAGAACACCAAAAATACAATCAAGAAAACCATTACAAGTTGGACCGCCTACAAAAATAGCCTCTCCCTAAAATAACTTCAAATGAAGACATCGAAGCAGCAGTAGAATCCTACCAACAAGTAATTCTACAAGCATATGAAAATAATTCTTCCACCAAAATAATCAGACAAGGATCTATAGAAAACCTTTCTATTTACTTGCAAAATCAAATTAGGATGACCGGAGGCTTAGAAGAAGATACACTACCTACAAAGAATGGAACGACAAAGCAAGAAGCTTCAAAACTTCCGATAATTCGGCCTGGGGAATGCAAAAAGCCTTGAGACGCCCCAAAAATGTTATTCCATTAATACATGAAACCAACTCAGTCTGAAAAAACAAAAGCAGGTATTTGCCAACACCTTAGAAGCCATATCTGTTGAAAATGTAATCCAGAATGAAGACTTAGAATAAATGAATGAAGCTATAAGCCCTGACAAATACACTGACATCCCACGATTTCCACGAATTATGTCATCCACAAAGAAATCCCTGAACAAATCAAAAGAATCAAGACAAAAAAAAAGCTCCAGGAATAGATGAAGTTCGTGACAAAATGGTTGAAGAACTACCAAAAAAATCCCAAATAGCAATAGCAAATTTGCTCAACACTATATTCAAATTTATAGAGGGAAGAAAAACGTCCAAATCTTCACTTAATTTTTTATTTCTCTACGCGTTTAAACTCATTGCCATTATCAAGAGTAGTGAAAGTTTTCTAATCTAAAAAATATTGGTTCTTAAACTAAAGTAAAAAAATTGATTATTAAACCTTCATGTCACATTTACAAAGATTTTTCGGCCAAAACACACACTACTTCCCAAATGCTGGAAAAAAGTCATGTATCATTGTCATTAGAAAACCTCGACAGAATGCTGCCTTCCCAGGTAACTATAGACCAATAAATAATTCTTCTTCCTACAATATCTAAAATTGTAGTAAAACCCATTAGAACAAGATTAGTAGAAGATATAGAACAACTTAACTTGATACCCACGTCCCAATTTGGCTTTAAAGCTCGCCACTCAGCTGACCAACCAACCCTGAGAAGAACAGAATATATGACAGAGAGATTCAACTACAAAATGGCCACAGGTGCCATATTTTTAGCCTTCAATAAACTATGGTACCACAGACTGATTGAAAAGATGATAATATGGAACTTAACAACCAAAACTTGCCAGCTAATACTCCAGCTATCTGTCTAACAGAAAATTCCAGGTTAGGATTGGGAAGCAATTTTCCACCACCAAAACAATTGAAGCTGTCAAGAGGTACTAGCACCAATATCATAAGAATAAAACTCCAGAGCGATATCGAAGAAATAGAAGCATGGTATAAGAAGGACAATATTAATTATTTGTAAAATCAACAACACAAAGACACAAGCAATAGTAATCTAAAAACGTAGAATGGCATTAGGACCTACAATTAAAATTGGCGATGATAGAATCCAATGGAGCATAGAAATCAAGGCCACCATATGGATAAAGATCACGTGGAGATCTCACATTACCAATACCAAGATGAAAACCAGCACTGGAACTATGTAACGGATAGAGATCGTTATTTCTATCGCTATGGCACTTGCTGTCTTCTTCTCTCTCGAAATCGATAGACAAGGGACGTCAATAGAGATAGAGAAAATATCTCTATTCATTACATAGTCCCAGGGCAGGGCTGCTATCTTCCAACTTTACCCAATACTAGGAAGGGAGAGCGCCTTTTGTTTCAAAACCAAGACACAAATAATTCAACCTGTCACAAGGGTCCAACTAGCATACTTCTCCTCCGCATGGGGAAGTTTTTATAGAACCCCAATGCAAAGACTGCTTGCAACAGAAAATAAAGTATTGAAGATGGCTGCGGATGGACCCTATGGTTTATACTCAATGTCGACATTCAAAGAGACCTACAAACAGTGGCCGTCACTACAAAAGTTTATACTCAAAAAAGCTGAGAAGTTATTTGGAAATAGCTTGGGAGATAGATGCAATTAGCAAACTCAGAGACCCCGATTTAACAGACTGGAAGGCCCCTAATCGGAAAAGCAAGAGAAAAGGTTTTAGTGGGTATGCCCTCTCCATTGCACTCTGAAGATGGAGAGCCCCACACTACCCAGTTCAGGCGAACGGGTTTGCATAAGGCGCATTTCCTCACCTTACAGAAAAAAAAATAGGTAGTACTCAACCTGTGTCTAGGTAACATTGAGATAGGTACCTACTCTAGATTTTTATTACTGGCTGATTAATTTCCAATACCTACTATCCTGCATTTTATCACCAGCTACTTCTTTGTATCATCAATTTCATAGTCACTAGTCACCTTTGCCAGACTCATAAATATAATGTGTTAATTGTTATTCCACCAGCATCTTTGAACGTGTGTTCATCCACTGCATCCTGCATCCACTGATCCTACTCTCTTTTCATCAGCCTCATTAGTGATTGAGCGTACTAAATTACATGTTCGGATATTTTGTGGAATTGCTGGCCTGTCTGCCATTGGCATTGTATTTTTTAGCTCATTGAGACTTATCCACTCTTGCTCCTTTTTCAGGCCTATAATATCTTGGAGAATCTAGGTCAACTCCAATAATAGCTTCGCCTGTTTCTTTACCGAGCAAGGCATGCATAGACCTTTCTCTAGCTTACTTTTTAAGCCTGAGAAGAGGTTCAGTAGTGCTTTATCTAGGGTATACTAACGATGTCCCTGGCCTCGATTATCGAAACTTTCACTACACGTGAGTGATTGTCCTCTACAGCTTAAGCTGGCATCCCAAGACGCGTGGCTTCCCGAGCCTAAGCTCGTGATTTGACTATTGACGCCATTTTTTGCGGGGCTTGGACTTTCCCGCTTCTTGTCAGTAAATTGGACACGAGTCAAAGGAATGCGAGCCTGTTCAGGCCTGGCTCGTAGACTTTCAACGACGATTGCAACGATCCACAGGTCGTGGGATCGCGTTCACTTTCCAAGCCTCGCTCAACAAGACGATTCTGGACGAGCCACGACAAGCTTAAGCCACAAGCCAGGCTCGCTGGGATGCTGGGTTTAAGACTCCACGAAGAGCGACCTAATCAACGAATGCATCTTGAAATTATGTATTATCTATTATTTATCAATCCTGTTCACTCGAGTTCCACGAGACAGAAAAACGAAAGAAGAAGCCCATGGGGATGGCGGCCAAGAGGATGATGCAGGGAAATGAAGGATATGATGGCGTCAGGTCAAACAAAAACCAAGAAGCACGCGTAGAAGCAGCAAGAAAGCAGGCTTGTCCCCGGAAACACCATCAGCGGTTCAAGCTCATGAGTCTGATGAAGAAGATATGGATCTAGAAGCTGTGGAAACAGAAACCTAATAAAAATCTAAAGATGAACGTAGAGCAGGTCCCAAGGCATCATATGGTTCAGCTGCAAAGAAGATGCCATCAGTAATAACCATTTTCAGGCACTGCCGACTAAACCATGATGTCAAAGAAGATCAGATTCAACCACGCCAAGGAAGGTAACTGAGAAGTATATGAAGATCTTTCTAATCACCTCAAGGCTTCGATTAAGTTCCTGAATCAGAGAAATCCGTAGGTACTCTACAGTCTACATGCCAACTCCAGGCCGAAAAGAAGTGGTACGACATGTCCAGTGCACAGTTTGCAGAAGAACTGAGGAGCTTGAACTAAAGAGAAACAGAAGTCACCCAGATCATTGACAGAAGGTACGAGGCTTGATGTCCGAGTACAAGGGAGAATTAAATCTGGTGCCCGTCACCTCCAGAATGCTACAGATATGAAGCATTTGAGTACACAAAATGCAACTTACCTTGAGATGCCTGTGGGGGGTCAGCCATAGATGGTAGGACACACTGAAAGCTGGAAAGATTTCCTATTTCAGCAGTAGAGAGGCCAAGACAAAGGCCCCCGATGCCTTGAGCCGGTCAATCATGCCGAACCTTCTGCCGATAATTGAAGGGATCGTCGACAGCAGATTCCAGTGA